ACAGAGTCTTTACGGAGATAAGTTAAAATGAGGTCCTTAGCACAGGCCCAAATCCAATATGACTGGTGTTCTCATGAGAAGAGGAAATTTGGACACAGACACATGTGGTGGTAAGAGGTATGAAGACATAGTTAGAAGTCGGCCATCTATAAGTCAAGGAGGGAGGCCTGGAACAGATCCTTCCCTCACCACCCTCAGAAAGAATTAACTTTGATCTCAGACTTCCAGCCTCCAGAATTGTGAGAAAATACATTTCTGTTGCTTAAGTCACCAGTCTATGGTATTTTCTTATAACAGCCTAACAAACTAACACACCCAGCAAGTCATTAAACCTTCTAGAGCCTCAGTTTCCACAACTGCAAAATGGGAATCCCTGGCCTGCCCACCTCACAGGTTTGCTGTGGGGATAAAATGAGACCAGATGTGGGAGACGTTTGTAAACTATGAAGAGTTCTACAGATGACAGGATGTCTAACTTCACTTTCAGAGCTGGATCTTTGGGTCCTATTGGGCAAGAAAGCAGATAAAGGCATGGGATCCTGGGACTGTGGTTCCCAGTGAGAGGTGCAGAAGCTGGAATACAGCCTTGGCAATCTCCTGCTCCCAACTCCCAGGGAAGGGAGGGGAGCTGCCCTCCTCCACAGTTATTTAGTGGATGTGGGAGAAACAGAACTTGCGTGGGAGAAGGGAAAGGGAACAGAACAGAAACTGGAGAGCTCTAAGAAATTAAAAGAAAGAAAAAGGACACATGTAAGACCCCGGGAGTTTTCTGGATAAAAACAACACCTTTTATTTGCATGATACCCTGCAGGTCACAAAACACTTGGAGGCACTGGGTTCTCGTTAACCTACTTGAGGTCAGGAATACCTTTGAGAGTCTGATGAAAGCTACATACCCTCTCTCAGAAAAAAGTAACTCATGCACACAACACATAAAACATTATAGAGCAGCACTGTCCAGCAGAACTTTCTATGAGGATGAAAATGTTCTGTAGCTATGCTGTCCCATACGGTCGCCACTAGCCTCCTGTGGCTACTGAGCACATGAAACATGGCTAGTGTGACTGGGCAAATGAATTTTAAATTATTTGGTTTTAATTATTTTCCATTTAAATATCCACCTGTGGCTAGTGGCTTTTGTGTTGGACAACATAGTTACATACTATTCCAAGGGATTCACAGATCCCTGCAGCTCATCCATGAAATACCCTTGTCAATGGACCCCATGTTATGAACTATTTGTGATGATTACAGTGTTCTCATAATAATTATCTTTTTTTTTGAGCTTACCGGATACATGTATCATGCCATTTAATCCTGTTGAAAACCCCATGACAGAGCTAGAATGGTCATCCCCATTTTATAGATGTGATTACTGAGGCACTGAGAAGCCTACCATCTTACCCCAAGTGTTGTGCCTAGATCACAGTGGAGGACTGGGGACTGAAACTGAAGACCTCCTGACGTGAGACCTCAAGTCTTCCCTAACTCCCTAAAACCTGTCCTAAGGGTTTCACCAACTGAAGCCCCGGTTCCCTCCTGAGGCCTTGATAGAAATTATTTCTAGTAACCTAAAGAACTTCCATTCGCACTGCTATGCATCTTTAAAGTGACAAGCAAGAGCTTTGGGGGCTTCTCTTCTCCTTAAAGCCTCCAGCCCGGGCTCTACTGAGGCCATCTTCACGTTGGTAACTGAGTATTCTTCCATTAAGGTTTGTCTCTGATCTTCTCTTTGGCAGAGGGATGGTTTCCTCTTCTCCATTAGTCCTGTCTGATTCCCAAGGCCATAGAGGGCATGGTGCTGGTAAAGAAGTCGGGTTTCTCCATGTGGGATGCCAGCGACCACACACTGCCTCTCAAATAAAGAACCCGGAACCTTCATGCTGGGAATGCACTCTCTTTGCCTTCCTACTCTGGGCCAAGAAATCCCAAATCACAATAGTGTTCACAGGCCACAGGACCATCTGGGTCCACACCCTACAGGTCAATCCTTCACCATGGCCTATGGAGCTTAACGAAACTCACTTCCACGTTGTGTCTGTGTCTCTACTCACTTCTAACTTCTAAAACTTCCCCTCATTCACCAGGCATATTCAGATTTTATCTTATCAGCCTGGAATTCTATTTTCCCCAATTCTTCCCCCATCAAAAAATTCCTTCAAGGCCCAGCCCAAATGCCATACACCTCCATGAAAACTTCCAGCCCCCAAGCTTCCAGAACATGGTACCAAAATATACTGCTTACATGTCTACTGATATGCTTTGGCTGTCTCCCCACCCAAATCTCATCTTGAATTGCAGTTTTCATAATCCCTACGTGTTGTGGGAGAGACCCGGAGGGAGGTAATTTAATCATGGGGGCAGTTACCCTCATGCTGTTCTCGTGATAGTGAGTAAGTTCTCACAAGATCTGATGATTCTATAAGGGGCTTTTCCCCCTTTTGCTTGGCACTTATCCTTCCTCCGTCCATGTGAAGAAGGACATGTTTGCTTCCCCTTCCACCATGATTGTAAGTTTCCTGAGGCCTCCCCAGCCTTGCAGAACTGTTGAGTCAATTAAATCTCTTTCCTTTATAAATTACCCACTCTTGGACAGTTCTTTATAGCAGCATGAGAACAAACTACATCTACATAGCACTTTTTCCACACTCTCTTGTATTGCTTTTTTTTTTTTTTTTTTTGACAGAGTCTCACTTGGTCACCCAGGCTGGAATGCAATGGCACAATCTCAGCTCACTGCAACCTCTGCCTCCTGGGTTCAAGCTATTCTCTGTCTCAGCCTTCCAAATAGCTGGGATTACAGGCACATGCCACCACACTCAGGTAATTTTTGTATTTTTAGGAGAGATAGGATTTCACCATGTTGGCCAGGCTGGTCTCAAACTCCTGATCTCAAGTGATCCTCCTGCCTCGGCCTCTCAAAGTGCTGGGATTACAGGCGTGAGCCACTGTGTCCGACCTGTATTGCTTCCTGAGTGTGGGATCCATGTTGCTTCTTGAGTGTGGTCCATATCACATTCAGCTTTTAAATTTCTAACCTCATTGAACAGAGTGCTTGACAAGAAGTAGACACTCAGTAGACTAGTGGTTCTCAAACTTGTTAAAACACAGATTGCTGAGCCCCACCCAGAGAGTTTCAGATTCAGCAGGTCCTGGGTGAAGCCTGAGAATCTGCATTTCTAATAATCTCAAGTGACACTGATGCCACTGGCCTAGGGAAGCACTGTAAGCTTGAGAAGCACTGTAAGAGGTGTTTGTGGCATAAATAAAAGATGGAAGCGATTAAAATTTCCCTTAAAAATCCTATCACCAAGGGCTCCAAAAATGAGCCTTCAAATGACGAGGATAAAAGAAATATATTACCAACATTTACTTCTAGATAAGAGGCAAAAATAGAAGCAGCAGAAAAAAAGAATGGCAACAAAAGATCAGGGAACCAGATGAAAAATGAAAACTGTCAGAAAAACTTCGGGAGCACCACTGTTGGTTTCCTTTTAGTCCTACCTGATAACTTTTTACAATCAGACCAGAAATTAAAAATAAGTTCATTTTTCCTTTTTTTTTTAAAAAAACAGACTCTCACTCTGTTACCCAGGCTGGAGTGCAGTGGCACAGTCTCAGCTCACTGCCACCTCTATCTCCCTAGCTCAAGTGATTCTCGTGCCTCAGCCTCCTGAGTAGCTGGGACTACAGGTACGCGCCACCATGCCTGGTTACTTTTTGCATTTTTAGTAGAGACAGGTTTTGCCATGTTGGCCAGGCAGGTCTCAAATTCCTGACCTCAAGTCATCTGCCTGCCTCAGACTCCCAAAGTGCCAGGATCACAGGCATAAGCCACTGCACCTGGCAATAAGTTCATTTTTCTGACTCAGTCATATATTTTTAAATATTCTAGGGAAACACTCTGACTCAGTAAAACCAAAATTGGGAAATTTTCATAAGAAAATAATCAGAAATGAATGTCAAAATGATGCACAGGGAGAGTTGTGAAGACCTGTTTACAATAACCAGAAATTTGGAACAACTTAAGTGTTTGGCAAAAGAAATTAGATTCAATAAATTATGGTATGTCCATAAACAGAATGCTATAAAACCTTTTCAAAGGTCTTTACAGGGGAATATTTATTGACACAGAAAAGATGCATGAGACAACAAATGAAAAAATAATCAAGCTAAAAAATAGTTTAAATAGCATGATCTAACTGGACAAAACCCACAAATAGATATAGAGAAATAGATAAAAACAGAGCTATGGAAAGAAAGCTATTTACCAAATTGGGAGTTAGGACAAAAATTATTTTTTCATTTTAACATTTCTATTTCAATCATTTCTACAATAAACACATACTGCTGTGTAATTTATTTACAGGGTCTTAAAAAATAAATGATAGTCTGTAGGCGGTTTATTCTCCATTTCTTCTCATGAAGGACCAAAGAGTTGAATCGAAGCCTGAGCATTTGTATAAGCTTTTCCCCACCCTGCTCTTTGGCAAACACCAACACAATTTGGGCTCCATTTATAAGGCATCTGCTGCACCAACCCTCTTTCTTGGTGCTTACTGGACCTGCTCAGGGTTAACTTCTAACTCAGAGAACCTAACTTTGAATAACTCCATACCACCGGCAAAGCGACTGACTTTGGGGAATGACATTTACAACGTATCCACTGTTATTTGGTCACCCAGCAAACTGTCATTTTTCAGAAACCAAGGCTGTCTCACAGACTGCCTTTCAATAAGGTGGGTTGCTTAGCAACTGCCAAGGAATTCAGAAGACAGAATAAGGCATCTGCCAGAGATATTTTATGACCAAAATGAGCTGCACTCATGTGTCTGGTTGTGTTCAAGGTAACCAAGTAAGAGATAACACCGGACTATTTTTGCATCATGAGGAAAAATACTTGGCTTCTGCCCAGAAGGGCAATTATCTCAAAGTCTTGGCAGGCCCCATGGTATGAGAAATGGTAACTGATACGGGGGTGAAAAAAAAAAATCACTGACCTTCATAAATACTGATGATATGAGGATGGTTGAGAGATGACATGATCTCAATCTCTCGTCTGATGTGAACCATGTCTTGTTCATCCTTAATTTTGTCCTTACGAATGGATTTTATAGCAACCTATAAAGTCAGGAAATGAAATGTTATTCAGAGAACTAAACAGATGCAAATCAGCCATTGGGGGAGTTTGGAAAATAAATACAGATGTTACTTGTTGGCAGAACCGACAATAACCAAAACAAAGCTTGGAAAAGCCCCCTGTCATGTCTTTCATATATAGCAAAAACATTCTTCTCCCGGCAACAGAAAACATCAGGTTTTAACAGCCTGGGATTTGTGATGGTGGTTTTTGTTTTTGTTCTTGTTTTGTTTCGTTTTTGTTTTTTTCATAAAGCAGAGGCTGCTTAACACGGCCAGAGTCATTTACTCGAGGAACCCTGATGCTTTGAAAAAAGAAAAAAGGCAAGTTCAGTTTACAGGGTATTGATGATTAAACGTGGTTAGGTGAAACTGGTTACCACTCAGCTCCACTGTGCAGCTGCCACAGCGGTGGCTATAAAGAATCATTACTGCCTGGCCAACCTCGAGGCCAGCTCTGCCTCAAGCCTTGGTTTTTAAGACTCCAGGCTATGCTGTGTTTACGCAAGGGCTCAGAAGCGAATTCCTTCCTACATCCTTCCTCTTGCTCAAGGCACCTTCAATAGCACATGGTATGACTAGAGGGCTCTTCTGGAGACAAATCAGGGCAAAACAAAGCGAGTGACAGCTCATCTCCCTGCCCGACCCCTGTCAATTCCCAAAGCTCAGTGCCAAAGTTGCAAATCCAAACTGCAGAGACCTGCTAGGGCCAACACACAGAGCAATTACTCAAAAGAAACACACCAAGAAAAAGGCAATGAATGACAACAGGAACCTAATAAGGAAAAGCGTGTTTGCCAATGGATTCATCTTTGCTCATAAACAAGCTGGTTGGTAACTTAATCAGATTGGCTCTAAGCGGGCCAAAAACTACTTGAGGAAGGAGCATCCACGGGTAACAAAGACGCCCACCAATCAATGTGCTGCCGGATCAGAAAGCCTGCCCAGTTCCTTTCCAGGCTGGTCCTCTTGTGACCTCGACTCTCACCAGTGGAGGTCAGGTAAACTTTCCTAGGGGAAAGGCAGCTAAACCATCCTTCTGGATTATAAGGGCATAGAGTTATCTGGAGCAAAGAAAGTCCTCGTTATCAGCAACCCACGGCTACACCTTGCCTATCACACAGTCAACCCCAGCCAGCCTCAGCAGGGATATATTCACTTTTGGGAGCACGTGCTACTTCTGACTTGCACCAGCTCTCCACCAAGCACTACAAACGGAAACATTTCTAAAATACATCAGTCCGTCTATGACTCAACAAGAACTGGGTAGTTGTTATGACTGTTTTTGCTATGTGCTGACCTCCCAAAAAACAGGTTATGTCTGACTAGCAGCTCCCTGGATTTCTCCTTTGCAGTCTCCTTACCCCAGTTGTGATTAAGTCAGCATTTGTGTCTTTACTTGACTCTACACTGGTAGGGATCTTATTCACTGCTTTTTTTTAACCTCCAGTCCTTAACACCATGCTTGGCATATGGTAGACTCGAGAAAACATTTAGTGTAGACAGGTAGGCAGGTAGATAAAAAAGGAAGGAAACACGAAGGAAAGGAGGAAAGGAGGGAAGCTAAAGGGAGGGGAGGGTTGATGTTATTAACTGATGCAAGCTCAGACCAGAGAAGTGGTAGCAGAACTGGGGCAAAAAATGTGGGAACCACCCCAGTTAAATAATACTGCCAAGACAAGCATAATGGGAAGAAGATTCAGAATTTCTTTAACATCTATCTACACAGGCAATAGAGAAATAGATAAACAAATATAAAACACAGGAGGCCCTGCTGTAAACCCAGGGGCAGGCTCCACCTCCGTTCGACCATGGGTGGACCCATGGCTAGATAGAAGGAGGCTGCATGGAGATGAATAAGCCTCCCAGCTTAAAGGCCCCTTTTCAGCAGAGAGCCAGACTCAGAGCTACCCCAAGTCCTCACGACAGCCCCATTCAGTATATGGCAAGAAAAACTTCCCTTCGCTTACGTCAAATGTAAAGATATGACTGGATGGCTTTATTTTATCTGAGGAAGCGCTGTAATCCTGGGACCTTGTTCTGGGAGGAAGCAGACAGTGAACACACACAGGCTGTGGAGGGTGTGGGTGGCTGCTGGAACAACTCCTACATTCCTCCATAAGCTAAAGATGGTCAAGGGTAGAAACCACCCCTTTGATTATGCAGCAAGCTGAACTTGGCCTCAAGGAGGCTCTATTGTCAAGTTACAATAGGCATAAATTCTTCACGATGCAGGGTCAGAGGAGGGTAGCAACATTCTAAAGGGCAAGAAAATAAGCCCACTTGCTGATTCCCCCCTAACAGTCCAGCGAGGCGGAGGGTCCCACGGTGCAATCGCCAGGGGATGCTTTCAGCTGGGTGTGAAAAGGAAAGTGCCCACATTCTCATCAAGCCGTGCTCAGCACTGAGGAAACTAAAAGGGTTCCATAAATGTTAATAAGCATTGTGGCTGTCTCTCCACAAAAATGTTCCCTTTTCCTACAATGAGTTTTCCACTGAAAATGTAAAAGAGGGTGCATTCTGCTCCCCGATTTCAAAGGGGTGACAGGAAGTCAGGAGGAGACAAATGCTAGAAATCACTTTCATCTGTGCACCTGCCAAGGCTGGAGGGAAGACATTCAGCTCTACTCCCAGAGTGGTGGCAGACCCATCCAAGGTCCTGACAGCCAGTTAATGACAAAACAAAAAAACAATACTGCTACTAATAATAATGGCCAGCATTCATTAGCCACTTAATAGATGGAGCAGACACCATGCTGAATGCTTTACACACCGGGGATCTTTGCACCTTTCTCATTCAAGCCTCAGCTTCACACCACCCTCTTAGGGAGACCCTTCCTGACCCCTCTAGCTGATAAGGCCACCCTTATGGCCACCTCCCTCTCTCTATGCCCTTCCCATTTTATCTTCTCTGGAGCATCTCACACCAACTGCTGTATTAGCTGCATATTCAGCCTGTTTTTGTAGGACTCAGGGAGCTAAGAATGGTTGTCATATTGTTTGAGGGTTGTAAAGAAGAAAAAAAAGAAAAAGAAAATCTCTAAACGCAGCTCCTGTAAGAGTGTCTGCTTGAGGAAGTTGAAGGATACACTGAGCCAGTGCACAGACAGTATTGCATAATGCTTAGGAACATGGCTTTAAGTCCAGGCTAAAGCCACTCTCTAGCTGTGTGACCCTGGGCAGGTTACATAACCTCTCTGTGTACCTGTTTTCTCATTCATCTAGTAGAGAAATAATAGTACCTGCCTCAGAGGTCCTGGTGAGGATTACATGTCAGGTGCTCAAGAATACGCCTGGGCCAGGGGGTCACTGCTCAATAAGTGTCAGTCTTTTTTAACCCAGAGTGAGTGTTCTATAAGTACAAACTTCCTTTCTTCCTTTCTTTTTCAGAGCAAACTTGAATTTCTCCTGGCTCCTCAAGGGACAGTCACTGGAGGTCTTAGGGACATGTTTCCAAAGTACATAAAGGACAAGAGCATCTCCATCCTGGGTCTTCACATTGCAACCTCACCTGAAATCAGGAAGATCAGATCAGCTGGTCACACACCATTATCAGCAGGGCTCCTGAGTCCAAACCAGACAGGAGGATGAACACCTTGAACCCAAAAAGCAATCCCAGGACCATTTCTCTACCCGCTCCCACACTGCCTCCTTTGACCATTCAGCTGAACAGGGCACAAATATGTTTCTACTTAAAATCAAAAGTCAGCCTCAAGATATTCATACTTCAGCCTATATGAAATTTGGCTGTTCATCCACTTGTTCTTTTTGAAAACCTACCATGTACCAGGCTACACAGGAGGGAGCCAGTGCGACTGCTCCAGCCCTCAAGGTGGGAGGTGGGGTGGGGAGGGTACGGGCAATAAGCAAAACTCACACCAGTAATTACATAATTACCCTCATGGCCAGGGCTACCAAAGAAATGCACAGACATGCCCGGCATTGCAGAGGAAAACTCCTCTCCAGTTTTCCTCAATTCTCACATCTACAAAGAAACACAGAGGTAAGGAAGAGGCCCAGTAGGAAGAGATTACCAAACGTCTGAAATCACACACCCTTCACCCCCAAAAATCCCATTTGTTCCTGCACAAGTCAGAGAGCCTGCAAGGAGGAGGGAACTCAGGTGTTTGAGCCCGACTCACAGTACAGCCACATTCATAAATGTTCCCAAGTCTAGACAGCACCGTGCGCCTTATAAAACGGTCTGCTTTTAAATAAGGCCACCCTATGGTTTAATGTTTAAACCTTCTGCAGCAGCAGGTTTGGTGGAGAACCTGTGAATCCTGCCCTGTAGTGCCTGCCTGTTTCAGAAGCAAACTCAGCCCAGATAATTCCATAACATGCAACGGGCACAGCCTCCTCTTGAGGGTTGGAGGTTTTTCCTTTTTTGAATAATCACCAAAAACCACCTGCTCTGCGGCCTGCTGGGCATCCTCTCCCACATTCGCTGCTGTGGGTGCTCAGAGCTTGGTGACCTAGGAAGGGCTGGGGGATGCAGAGTGGAAGAGTACATGCTCAGACTGTCATCGGCTGGGTAACCTCAGGCAAGCCCAAACTTCCCAGGTCACAGTTTCCTCACCTGTAAAATGGGGTTAGAAAATCCTGTTTCTTGGGGTTGTTGTGAGGAGTGAAAACTAGGTAAGTAAAGGCTCCAGCGCACAGTATTCACTGAATGGCAGTGATTATAAACCACATTTAAGGGGTAATGAGCCCACAGCAAATCATATCATAGGTCTCTCAGCTCCCCTCCACCCCTACACATATCCTCCCCCTCCCCACATTTGCACAGTGGCAAAAGCAGGTTAAAATTAATATCTGGCCAGCCCCAGGGTATCCTGGTGTCTTATCGAGAGGATACCTGTGTAGTGTAGGACCAGCCTTGGGGGCGTGGCAGAGAGTCTGGGCAGGTGGTATGTTGTCGAGGCTCTAACCAAGAGAATCCCTGCCCTCCGCCTTTTGCAACCATCTCCCTGCATGCTCAT